TCAGCTCCGTCCTTTGGACCCGCCTAGCCAAGGACAAACAAACCAAACAAGACCAAACCGAAAACTACCAACACACAAGCAACAAGACCCAACACGTACTTAGGCATTGGAGCGGGCGCGGGGGGACAGCACTGCGATAATCGCAGCTACCTACCTCATCCCTTTGAAGAGCAATGGACGAACCTAAAGCTCCTAGGCCCAGGCTGCTACCTCTGCTACGAACGTACGATAACAAGAAAAGAACACAAGGCAAGCGCATCCTTGGAATCAGACTTGCCGATGCCTCAGAGAAAGGAAAGGAAATGCCTACAAGGAATAGAGTTTAAAATGAGGCCTGCTTGAGCTGGCTGTACAAAGCTGTAGAAACATCAGGCACGCAAATCGGCTTCAAATGATAACTGAAACTGCCTAAGGCCCAGCTCAGACTCACTCGCTTTTGACTGTCTCCGTCACCCTAAATGTGAGTCATCGCGTCCGATACTCACGCACTGGTGCCGGTGGGCCGTACCCGGATGGGCCGACACCCTGAGTTCCCGTCTAGTGGCGTCCCACACTAGGTAACTCACGACAACCAGCGGAGGGCCGTAAGACGTTCAGCCAGTAAAGGCCGTGAAGGACTGTGTCCTTGGATGCTCACAACTGTGTTGCTGCAGCGGCATATCGCTCATCAGAAAGTCTGTGCCCAGCCGTGTCGTGGAGCCGTACCATAGTGCAGAAACTGCTAGAGGGCGAACCTGCTCCTCGCCCCGGCTCTCGCGCCCCACTGCAAGACGAGGCGTTGGTGACATGTTGGGGCCAGCATCACCCTCAAGCAGCCCTGCGCATGTAGCTGGTCGTACTTCAGAACTGTGGTTGCAGTGTCCCAACCTGCACCTTGTCCTGTAGACAAGACCGGCCCGGCGCCCCGTCTGGGGCCACAAGGGCACCCCATGTGCATCGAAAGACATCAGGGTGCTCAGCGGGGCCAGCGTTGGGAGGATTACGTCGTGCTGAAGGCCGTTGGATAGCTTTGTGTTTGGCAGCTGTGTTGCAAGTCCGTACAACCTTATCGGAGACTTCTCATCCTCACCAACGTTTGACGTTTTCCCCGGAGCAAGCAGCATGTCAGCTGCGCTGCAATCCCTTTCAACAGTATCCAAAGCAATACGTGACTGGGCTGTAGCTCGAACTGGGGGGGGGAGGGGGGGGGGGAGGGGGCGTGTCGTGGCCAGTCACGTACTTGTCTGCGAAGCGGCTTTTGAGCATGAGTGTCTCGGAGAAGAAGCTGCCACTTCGCATAAACTGCACAGAAAAGGATTGCAGTGATCTCTGAGTGCATCATCCCGGGGAAGCTGCTCGAGGCACAAAAACAGGCCTCAGCACTGGTACGCCAGGCTCTGTAGTCGACCAATGTTGCGCTGCTCCAAGGATGTCTGTGTGCTGCAGAACCTTTTGTAAATGGAAAAGTGTAGGCAGGAGAAATGTACTGAGGCGCGTTCGGCTCGCCATCCGCTTGTTTTTCCCCTCCAGAAACATAGATGATTAAGTCACTAAAGAGGGTACTCCTTCCACCTCGCGGAGCAGTGGAAACCCTACCGCTTACCTCTGCAAACTCGTTATTGTCGGTGTGCGTGAGGCCCGGGAATTGGGACCCGGCGGTTCACAGCAGAGTCGACTCGTAGCTCCAATGGCAAAATGGCTCAGGCAAAGGCAGAATCCTTAAGCTTCTGCGAAGGCAGGGCCTGTTGCTGAGCTCTAGTGCGGCTACTACTACTACTACTACTACTACTACTACTACTACTACTACTACTACTACTACTACTACTACTACTACTACTACTACTACTACTACTACTACTACTACTACTCCTAGTCCTACTCCTTCTCCTACTCCCTCTCCTGCTCCTGCTCCTACTCCTACTCCAACTCCTACTCCTACTTTTACTCCTACTCCTACTCCTGCTCCTACTCCTACTCCTACTGCTGCTGTGCTGCTATGCTGCTATGCTGCTATGCTGCTGCTGCTGCTACTACTACTACTACTACTACTACTACTACTACTACTACTACTACTACTACTACTACTACTACTACTACTACTACTACTACTACTACTACTACTACTACTACTACTACTACTACTACTACTACTCCTCGTCCTGCTGCTGCTGCTACTGCTACTGCTACTGCTGCTGCTACTGCTACTGCTACTCTGGGTTTCAGGATAAGTCCACGTCTATGCAATCCTTAGATGGGAGCCGGTTGGACAGAGTTTCAGGGTCCGGCCCAGCTCGGACCTGGGGCACCGGTTGCAAAGTATCATGCCTTTCAAAAAGCCTTTTCAGGCCTGTACGATTATTACCTTTTCTGGCCATGATTGCTGAGCTCATATGACGATGGGCAAATCGTTACCTGAGCCCCAAAGGCAAAGCCTGTGTCGGCGTGCAAGCTCTTCAAAGCCTGGTAGGACTTAGTAGGGGCGCCAAACCCTAAAGCAACCTCAGCCCAAAACCTAGACATCCCCTGGACCTTCAACCCTCAACCAGGCTCTCGGCCTCAAAGCCACAAGGGATCCAGGGCTTGAGGTTCTAGGAATCTTCGCCACCCAAAGCCCCTAGCAGGGCGCCTTCCTGCCCAACGGTACAGTGCTGCACGGGCCGACGGGTGAGGCCCGGCGCTTGTGTCCAAAATCCTGGGGAACCTTTGCTTTGGGGTTTAGGCTGGATTGAGAGACTTCAGGGTAGTTTTTTTTTTTGGGAAGCTTAGTGACTAGTCCTTGGGGCTTAAAGGGCTTCAGGTTTCTGAGCCTTTCCGGTTTGCATTTCGCAGTGGGGACTTGCTGCTCAGACCACCTGCGAGTTTGCTAAGGAGCTGTTCAGTACCGCAGCGGGACTACAGGTTAGCTGACCTAAACTTTTCTCTGGCTGACCCCTTGAAGGTCTGGAGTTCATCTCAAGTCAGGGCTTCTCCGTTAGGATCAGACGAACACTTGCCCTCCTTCCCCCAAACACTACGGCACCCTTCTTAACCCCTAAGCCCGGAACCCGTGACCGCAACCCTTCAACAACGCGGTCGCGCGCTTCCAGATTGCCTACAGCATGCCGCCTGGCCCGGCGCCAATCTTCGAGTTTCGGAACGCGTCCTCCATCCAGGCATGGGTTTGCGGTTTCGGGCCTGGCGTTCAGGGGCTTCGGGCGTTTTCGCAGGGGTTAACGCTTCCATGTTGCAGAGCCCGCGGCCAGCTGGGGTGGACTTCGACCTCGACTTACAAAACGCCCCACAAGTACTGAACCTGGCGAACTGGGATGGCGTAGGGGAGGCTGCCCCATGCATCCCCTTCGGGTTTAGGGCGTAAAGCCTTGGTGGAGGTCAGGGCCTGAGGACCCGAACCCTCACTGCGCAGGTCACGCTGAGGGCTGCGGCAGAGCCAGGCTCGGAATACACGACTTGACTCCAAATGCTTCCCCAAACCCCGAAGGAGGAGCAGCTTCTCCCGCAGCCTTTGGGGCTTGGGGACTTGGGTCCTAGTTCAAGGGCCCCTATGTGTGTTTCTTGCAAAGCCCTTTGGTTTTTTCGAAAAAAGCCCCAACTTCAAACCCCAATCCCCAAACCTCAAACCCTAAACCACCCTACTTGTGCACCGAAGGCAGCGCCGTCGGAGGTGCCTGGGCCGGTCGCACGTTCCTGCTGGCCCTGCGCTCCCCAAGCATCCTACAGGCTTTGGGTTCAGGGTTTAGGGTTTAGGGTTTAGGGTTTAGAGTTTAGGGTTTAGGGTTTAGGGTTTAGGGTTTAGGGTTTAGGGCTTCGGGGCTTCGGGGCTTCGGGTGTCAGGGCTGGGAGATTTGAGGGCAATTCTTTTTTCGATCCCCTAAGGAATCCCCAAACTATCCTAGACCCCCTAGATGTCTCTGGAAGGCTTTGGGGTTGTTTGGGGCTTAGGAGATTTTAGTGCGAAGGGTTGGGGATCTAGGGTTAGAGTTTTTCAAATTCAGGGTGCGTCGCGTTGCATGTGCACCCGCCCTTGTTCTGCCTGACCTGGTCTCAGCACCCTACTAAGCAAGCCCAAGCTAAGTCACTCAACTCTTGGCTTTGAGGATGTGAGGGTCCGGGGGCTAGCAGCGTCTTCGGGCTTAGGGTGTTAAGTGCTCGCCCCTGGCATCACCAGGAGCAGAAGCTCGGGGTTCAGCAAGAGCTGCCGGGTAGAATTCCTGCAGGCAGGAACAGCGAACCTGTGCATGATGCATGCAGCGGTCTTGTTTGGGGACTTTGTGTTTTGCGGGTAAAGGCTTCCTTGTCGAATGATGGCTTGCAGTTCATTTGCCGAGTCTCGCATTGCTCCTTCTTTCGTAGTGACGGGGCTTTGGGAGTCAAACGGGTGCATTGTCACTGGCTACCCATGTGCTTGCGGGGTACCCCACTCCCTTCACAGCCAGTTTCCGGGTTCCCACCTTGACAACCACAACAGCAGCAACAACAATACTTAAGTTGAAGCAGAAACCAAAGTAGAAGCAGAAGTAAAAAGCAGAAGCAGAAGCAAAAAGAGAAGTCGAAGCGGAAGACGGCGATGTGGCAGTCGTTGTCGTAACCAAAACGAGAGGCGCGCCGCGCAGCCCGACCCCGGGAACTCCTGCGGACTGGGAGGCCTTAAACCCTAACCTTGCTGTGGGGTTAGGGTTTAGGGTTTAGGGTTGAGGGTTTAGGGTTTAGGGTTTAGGGGTTTCGGGCCATCTATGGCCAGCCTCGAATCTCAAGCACCTCTAAGCTGCAGTCCCCAAGCAATTGCTGTTATGACGAGTTTCCTGATGATGATGGATCATGCGAGTCGGAGGGGGGGGGGTCTTGTGTGGCGTTTCGGATCGTCACAGGTTGGGCCCAGGTTTTGGGGTTTGCTTAGGGTTCTGACGCCGGGTGGTAACAATGCCTCTGGTGGTGGTGTGCTGGGTTGAATGCCGACACCGACACTGCAGAACTCTATTCAATGAAGATGCTGGTGACTTCAAGAGTCAGGAGCCGTCCCTTTCGTTTCAGTGAAAGGCTCCCCTTTAATGTTGGGCCTCTAGCTCAAGTCGTGCACTAATGCCAGAAGTGCACGCGCACTCGCGTCATTGTCGCAGCTCTGCGTGAGGGCTCTTTCTCTACTGCTGCTACGGGTGATGTCCCCAGTCTCCTAGCCTGTGGGATGCTGAAGTCTCCGTGCACCCTTTGATCTCGATCGACCTTTCGATGCTCCGAACCCCAGGTGCTAAACCCAAGACCCCAAGACCCCAAGCCACCCTCAACCCTGGTCCTAAAGCCCTAAAACCCCTAAGGCACCAACTCCTCTAACCCCTCCACCGGTACAACCTCAGCTCCGGAGGATGTCAAAGTCTTCCTGCCCTCGCCGCTGGGCACGAAGCTGGTGCTCAACCAGTACAACGAGTCTTGGGCTGCAAAACCGGCTGGGTCTTCTCGGCTTTGTGGTTTATAAGGGCATGTTCGGAGTGGGGGGTTGTCAGCTTTCTGGCACTTTTCAACCCTAAACCCTAAACCCTAAACCCTAAACCCTAAACCCTAAACCCTAAACCCTAAACCCTGAACTCTAAACCCTAAACCCTCAACCCTCAACCCTAAACCCTAAACCCTAAACCCTAAACCCTAAACCCTAAACCCTAAACCCTAAACCCCAATGCGCAGTTTTGTTTGGGCTTCCGGCTCCCGTCTCCATGCCTCCGGTTCCAAAACCCGCGTGCGCTCCTTGGGATTTCTCTGGGTTCAAGGGGCTCAGGCCGGTGTAAGTTTTCATTGGGTTTTTCTAAGGGTTTAGGGCTTTAGGGCTTTAGGGTTTTGGGTTTAGGGTTTAGGGCTTAGGGTTAAGGGTTTAGGGTTTAGGGCCTCCAAGCAAGGATCCACACTTCTCCCGAAGCTCCTGGCTCAGGTTGCCTTCAACAACCTGGGAGGTAAGGGTCCTGGACATTCGGACGAGCCGCCCGTGACCTGGCAAGAAGGGAGCTTTTTCGTTGAACGCTGACGGGTCGTTGCCCCGAAGGCCTTCTACCTTCTTCCCTTCAACCCCCCAACCTCATCGTCCTAAACTTCCTATCCCGCCGTGACGAAGCGCCCCTGCGAACTTTGGGGCACCTTTCCCGCCTCCCCCTTACCCCTCGGCCCGCCCCCCCGCCCCCCCCCCCCCCCCCCCCCGATGACTCCCTTACCGCCCCCCTGCCCCCCAAGCCTTCAACCACCCAAGATGTTCAGGTGTCAGTATACCTCTTAAGCTCCTTTTTTGTTTGTTAGTTTGGGGGGGGGGGGTTTAGTATACCTCTAAACTTTGTTTGTTTTGTTTAATTTGGGGGGGGGGGGGGTTTAGAGGTTGAGGGTTTAACTGGGGGCTCAGGACTTTAGGGCTCCGGCCTCGGAAGGTCATCCGCTTCAGCAACATCGGAGCCCACCAGGGAAGAGGCCTCGACTTGGCCCGGGACCCCTGAGCTAAGGGAGCACTTTGGGAGGTTCCTTGGGTAGCTAGAAGTAGGGTTGTAAGTTATGTAGGGCCGTAATTAGGAACCGAAGTAGGGTTTTTGGTACCCTAAGTAGGGTTATAAGTGCCCTAAGTAGGGTTATAAGTAGGGTTATAAGCGCCCTAAGTAGGGTTATAAGTAGGGTTATAAGTGTCCTAAGTAGGCTATAAGTATAGCTACCATACTTCTAACCCTGCTTATGGCTACCTGTGAACCTCCAAGTAGGGCAGTGGAATTCCCATGGATCGGCGCCAACACCAAATCCCCATTGGTGGAGGTACCTTGGCATGTTACCTCTTTTTCTCACAGGCCTTCATAGGCAATAAGAATAGGGGGGTACTTTCATCCCTATTTGAGGACTGTGAGAATAAGGGGGAACATCCCCAAGTCGTCTGGCTTTGCGTGGGCTGAAGGGCTTCGGGATTCAAGCGCGGGTTTGGGGGGTTCCTGGGCCTGTTTGGGATTTCAGGGTTAGGTTTGGATGTGGGTTTAGCCCCCAAAGGCTTCGAGCCTCCCACCCTCGAGCCTAGCCCGCAAAGACTCGCAGACATGTTGGCTAACCGGCTAACTTCTGACTAAGAGCCCCACCCGCCTCAAAAAAGACTCAGATGCTCAGCCTCCATCCGAGAGACCTTCGTCTGTCCTGAGCTTTCAGCAGCCCAAAAACCCGGGAAAAAAATTGGGAAAAGCGTGGTTGATCCCTGCACTAACCCTGCAGCCTGCGCAAACTCGAAAGCGCTCAGATGCAAAACCCCTTCCCAAACCCTCAGACCCACATCCTGTCCGCATAGCCCAGATTAGCCCTATGGAAAAGCCTGAACCCACCTGAACTTTACCCTAAACCCGAAAACCGAAACCCCCCAAAACCCGAGGTCGTGCGCGCCTTGGGCAGCTACGAGCCCAGCCTTGTTGGCCTCAACGCACAGCTGGGCCACCGTGGTGTGGCAGCGGTAAACGCCCCTCCGCGTGAACTTGCTTAGGAGCTAGGTTCTTCCGAGTGTAAAGTTTGCAGTTTGAGGTTTAAGGGGCTTGAGGGTTTGAGGGATTTCGTTTTCTTTTTCAGCGGTATGTGCGTTGTTTTCTTGTCTTTTGTTTTTGACTGTTCTACACACCTACTACGAGTTCTTTGCAAAGCTAAGTTCAGATGTCAACGCCCAAACGCACTTTCCAATTCCCAAAGATGGCTTAGGGCATACATCGAAACAGAGGCTTCATTAAAAAGTAAGAAGGGGATCGCGCAGCATCCTGTCAGGTATGTGTTGGGATGTTCCCCCTTATACTAACAGTCCTCAATAGGGACCCCGTACTGTAATCCCTATTAAGGACTGTTTAGTCTAAGGCGGAACATCCCAATATCTGGATGAAGATACTTGTAAGCACTCTTTAGCGAAGTCGCGGAGAGGAACCATCGGGACTCCGTGGTTACAACCTCCATGACCGAGACGCCGAAAACAATAACAATAGTGACACATATCATGATCATAGTATAAGATAAATCTTATCAACAATCTTAATAAATAAGTACATACATAAATAAGTAGATAAGTAAATAAGTAGATAAGTAAATATAAATAGATAAATATATAAATATGTATAGATATATAAGTACATAAATACAAAAAATCAGTACATAAATACATAGATAAATAAATATAAATATACATATATGCATATACATATACATATATATATATATATATCCATATAGTCGTCTGATTCAACAACAGAAGAACTGGAAGCAAAGGTCAAGCTCGAGACCTCCGTAAAGCTTCAGCTGGAGATCGTAGCCTCTGAGGCTTCTTTGGAGGGACTTATGGGGTTTAGAGTTTAGGGTTTGGGGTTTAGGGTTAGGGTTTAGGGTTTAGGGTTTAGGGTTTAGGGTTTAGGGTTTAGGGTTTGGGGTTTAGGGTTTAGGGTTTATGCAGGGGCTCGCTGGGTCGAAGTTGGGTTCGTGGAGCAGCTGCGCAGGCGGCATCGCCCGAGCCCATCTCGCTCAAGCGGCTCTACCTGTCCGTGTGCGACACGGAGGAGGGCGGCCCGCAACCCTGCAGCCCCCAAACCCTGCATCCTCAACCCTGAGCAGCTCAAAACTGCGCATCCCAAAACCCTACCCGGGACATTGTGCCAAAGAGGACCCCATCGAGTCGCTGTCGGCGGATGGGGAGGTTCAGACGAGTGGCTTCCAGGTGCCCCAATGCGCGTGGAGGGGCAACGGTTTCTGCTTTTTTTCTGGAGGGGGCGGGTCGGGCTTTGGGTTTGGGGACCGGGCCGGGTTTAGGGACTTGGGGGCTAAGGGTTTAGGGTTGAGGGCTGAGCTTGTTTGTTGTTCATGAAGCAGGCTTGGAGTTTAACCAACTTAAGTCGAATTAGTTCAGCATGAAAACTTCTCTTGACGTGAACTAGGTCAGTTGAACAAGGAAAGATACACAACATGGTACCTTGTTCTGACAGTTTTAGGTCATTTTAAACATGTTTGCTTAGTTTTATCAGCTTAAGCCGATGGATCCGCAAAGGATGTGGGGCCTCCAGGGTCTGTTTCGGTTTCACAGGTTTTAGGCTGGTTGGGGCTCGCGGCGGTTCTTGGGGGTTACAGTTAGGCGGTGCGCAGTGCCCCACTAAGCATCAACATTTTTTAACTGAAATAAGCAAGTCCGGTCCGTAGTGCGTCCGAAAGCATCACCAATTCCCAACTAAGAGTGAGCAGCCCACCAAGAAGGGAAACGAGATGCTGTGACACACTGGGGAACGGGGCTCTAGAGAAAAGCACCTCCAAAAACTGCAAGCCTCAAGCTTGAAACCCAAAAACCCTGCAATCCCGACCCCAAGTCCTTCACCCCTTTACCCTAAACCCTAAACCCTAAACCCTAAACCCTAAACCCCGAAAGCACTTTTTTTTTAGCAGGCCGTCAAGCTGGCCTCTGGGCACTGGGCCTCTGCTTCCTCGCTAGACCTGGCTCGGGAGACGGTCACCCGGCAACACCTTTCTTCAGCAGTGGAGCTCCTCTATCTGTTGTTCCCTATGCTATATCCCCCTTGGGGATTTTTTTGTTTTTGTTCATATAAAACCCAAGAGGATGCTAGACACATTATTTTTGTTAAGGTTCTAAGGGGAGTATGGTATCGTTCCCCTACCACCATAGAGCCCAGAACCCGCAGCCTCAGTGTGGGGGGAGGTAGCTGTAGAGTGGAGGATGGTGGAGATCGCAGGAGCGCAGGGAGTTGCAGTGACCTTAAAGGGATACGGGAGCCCAGGTGCCTCATGAAGCAGTAAGAGTTGTGACAAGGCAGAAGAAGAGAAACAGTCCGAAACCCTCACAGAACCCAGCTGTGAACGCCCTCAACACCCTTTTTTTCCTAAGGCCCTGATGACTTCCTAAACCCCACCACCCTAAGAGCCCCCACTCACCTGATAGGCTAGTTGGGCCCTTGGGATTCTGTTGTGCTTTTGCCTTGTTGTGTCTATAAAAGGATCATGGTTCGGGAATCGTCTTCCCTTATTGGGTTTATAAGAGGATCCTAGTTGGAATATCCTCCCTTCTTGGGTTTATAAGAGGATCATAGTTAGGGAAGATTTTTCCCTTCTTGGGTTTATAAGAGGATCATAGTATTGGGAAGATTTTTCCCTTATTGGGTTTAAGATACATAATTTCTGAATATCTTCCCTTAGAGTTCCCAGGCATGGGCCGCCTCGCACGGCCCCGCGCCAGTCTTCGCCTTCTGGACGGGGCGTTTAGGGGCCTAGGATTTCGGGCCGTTAGGGTTTAGGGCTTTTAGGGTTTAGGGTTTAGGGCTTTTAGGGTAGGGCTTTTAGGGCTTTTAGGGTTTAGGGTTTAGGGTGGAGGGTCTAACTAGGGGAGCTACTGCTTGAGGAGAGAGCTTTGGTGAATTCGGCTCTCAAAATGGGGGGGGGTCCAGTTGCAGACGCGTGGCGCGAGAAGAGTTGCCGGCAAGGGGGCTTGAATTTAAGTTTTGGGATGTTGCTTGGAGGCTGGCGGCGTGGCAGTTCTGAGACGACCGCCTCAAAACCTAAACCCTAAACCCTAAACCCTAAACCCTAAACCCTAAACCCTAAACCCTAAACCCTAAACCCTAAACCCTAAACCCTAAACCCTAAACCCTAAACCCTAAACCCTAAACCCTACACCCTACACCCTGAACCCTGAACCCTAAACCCTAAACCCCAAAATCATGCAAGCGCAGGAACACCGGGACCTTGGTGCTGACGCTGCGGGCGCTGCGGAGCGGTGGCTGGGCCCCCCAGATGCTCGGAGTGCTGGCGGGGTTGTTGGCTTAGACATCCGGAGGTTAAAGGCTGAAGCGTTTAGGGGTAAGGGTTGAGGGGTTTCGGGTTTAAGCTTTAGGGCCGGGTTTAAGCCCTTAGACCGCGAGCCTCAACTCTCAACTCCCGACTTCCTCAACACCCCCAAAATCTGAACCTAAGACCGCCCTAAGCCCTGAAGGTGTTTGGTTCTAGGTCTTCAGATGGAGATTGGGTTGAAGCCCCAGTTTAGGGTTTAGGGTTTAGGCTTTAGGGTTTAGGGTTTAGGGTTCAGGGTTTCGGCTTTTTCGAAGTTCTCGCTCTGTTGGCCCTGCAAGCTCGGCATTCACGAAAGGGGAATGGGGTTTGGGATTGGGTCTGCAAAATCCCCGAAAAAGATCCACGCAAGTCCCTGATCTCCCCCCCCCGAACCGCAGGCGGAGCACTTGGAGGAGCTGTGGCTGGTCGGACCTTCTTCATATCCCTGTGGTCCCCAGATGTGGAAAAGGCCATGGCTTCTTTCTGAGAGGGCGTGGGGGCTCAGGGTCCCGTGATAGTTGTCCGACGTCCGCTTCTGCTTCTTTTCATCATGGGTGACAGTGGATGACGGCCTAGGCAGCGTGGGAGAATGTGTTGCTGCACAGCTGGGTGTTAAACTACGAAGCTGTAAAAGTTGGCTGTAGGGCTCAACTTTGTGCTTCCACCTTGTGGCGGGGGATGCTGAGCCGCTCAGCGTCAAGTACTGCGAGCAGGGGTCCCCCGATGAACTGCAACAGTTTGGGGCATCTGTGAAGCCCGCTTCAAGCTGCGGTCCCAACAATGCGCGAAACCTCTGGCAGCCCCCTATACCCGCAAACCGAAAACCTTATACGCCCTAAGCTCTGAACCCATAACGATGTTGCGACACTAGCTTGCAGGCGAACATGAATGAACTGACCTGAAGACCAGAACAAGCATGTTACGGGAAACATAGCTCAGAGGCCAAAACCTTTGAATCTTGAACGCCCCCTCTGAATCCGATGGCTGGAAGATCCCCCTGAAAATCCAAAACCCTGACTTAGGTGCTGCGCAGCTAACTTTTGGGGCATCATCGGCCCCCTGTAAGCTAAACCAATCGATACTTAAGAGTTCCCGCCGCAGGCGCCCACGATCAGTGTCCCCACCACCACCACCTCGCCAGGGCCGCCAGGTTCTTCTTGGGTTCGCGGTTCGAGATTTATGGGTTCTCCGGGCCTCAAGTGGCCTTACGAGGTCACCTTCGGGTCTCCAGGCTTTGGGAGTTCAGGGCAGTCTGTTGCTTTCGAATGGCAGGAGCCTTCCTTGTTGCACTGCTTCAATCTACAATCTCCGCCTGCAGTGCCCGGCGCCCTAAACTCGGGCCATCAAGCCCCACAGCGTGAAATGCCTAGAAGCCTGCAAGCCCTCCAAAAGCACACCTTCTTTCTAGATGCTGCTTCCTTCAACCCCTTTTCCCAAAAAGGGACAGAGTGGAAACCCTACACCCCCCTCAGAGTCGGACCCTCAGCTCTTTGGAGCAGGTCGACCAGCGATCGCCTTGCCCATGGCGTCGCGTTTGCCACAGGCTGTCGGGACTCGGGTTGGGATGTTCCCCCTTATACTAACAGTCTCAGGGTTTTTGAGATGTGGCATGCCTGCAAGGATCCGGGGACTTCGAACTTCGAGGGCTTACGCTTTTAGAAGGTAAAAGAAGGAAACGGTTTCAGGGGCTGCCAGTGTTAGTAAGCCAGGGCCGAGGTCGTCGGGGCTTCGAGCGCTGAGGGCCCCGTCAGGTCAAGTGATTTGGGTTCCTAAGTTATGGGGGGGAGCACTTGGATTTCTGGTTTAGGGTGCACAAAGACGACGCTACACCCCCCCTTTGCTGCACGTGCTTGGTAGAAGTGAGGACCAGCTGCCCGCTCCCGGGGCGCCGCTGGGTGTCCGGCTACGGCTCAGCCACCGGAATGCCAGGGAGCCCAGGATCCAGCGGTTCTTAACAAAGACTGCCGGGGGGGAGGGGGGGGGATGCTTCGGGCTTCGAGCCCCAAGGCCACTTGGAGCCCATCGAGGCTTAGAGGCTTCGGGGGAGGGCTTAGATGGGGCAACTTTACTGAAAGAGTCTCTCCCATTACGGGTATGTGGCGCCCGCAGGGTTTGTGAGAGTTTTTGTAGGCAGGGCAAGGATGTCGCCTGGTCGGTGGTGTTTCTAGGTAGGAGGGAGCGGTCTGAACTGACCCTTCGATTCCTACACCGCACCGGTACTAAGAGCATTAATCCAAGAGTGCCGAAGTGTCAGGTCGTCTCTCACACCCTTGGGGCCAGTTCACCCGCGCACCATGGGCAACCGGAGCTGCGATTTGGCAACGCTTGGGCCTTGGCCGTCTCCCTGTGTGACGCTCCTTGTGCGGCAGCAGCAGGAGAACCATCAGTGAGTTTATGAAGGTTTAGCAAATGCATTCGGATAGCAGAAAGGGACCAGAATGGAGTAGACCAGGCTCAAGACAGCATGAACTGCAGACTCTCCGAGGTACCAAACTGCTCATTGGGCCTCCCAAGCATCCATGCAGCAGCACCGGACAAACACAACAACAAATGGGTTTAGGCATTAGGGTTTAGGGTTTAGTGGCATGCGAGCCTTGGCCAAGCAGGCACCAGCAAGTAGCGCAGGCTCGGTGCGGCGGTACGTGTGACCGGGTGACCGGGTGTCGTACTTTCCCTCTCACAACAGCACAGCCACTCTGCGGGTGCAGCTTGCTCCCAACGAAAATTTTGGACGTAGAAGCACGTGGAGCCAGGGCAGAAGCAGATTGCACTCCATGCTTCAAACCTTACGCCGTTCACTCCTCTGAGGTCTGCACCAAGGATGGAGAGCCTCTAGACTTGGCCACGATCTGAGCTTGTCTGTTACCTCAATACTTGAACTATGAAAATTAGCATCCCGCGGCTTGAGGGTGAAAACTCTCCCTGTCCCAGACGCTCTGATACTTCTTAAGGAAGGAATGCCCCTTAGAATCCTTAGATCGTACTAATTAGCGATCCCACGTCCGAGATAAATCAGGAATGTCCCATAGCTAAGGGGCATTGGAGTCTCTGGGATGCGGCACGTGTGAAGTTATTCTTTACGCCATTCGAATCTGCGTTGCAGTGCACTTGCCGGCCTGTCCCTAAGTTTGAAGCCTGAGCCTGGAAACCAAAAATGGGGGAAACCCTAAACCCTAAACCCTAAACCCTAAACCCTAAACCCTAAACCCTAAACCCTAAACCCTAAACCCTAAACCCTGAACCCTGAACCCTGAACCCTGAACCCCTGAGCTCCGAAGCCAACGCATCAAAATCCTTCAGGTCCTGCGGGCCGGCCCGGGCGACCACGCCGCCCCGTCGGCTGGACTCAGTCGCAGAGGAGCTGCATCCGTGAACGCAGGGAGCCCGAGAGAGTTTTAGGGGTTAGGGTTTAGGGTTTAGGGTGGGTAGGGGTGTAGGGGTATAGGGATGTAGGGGTGTGGGGGTGTAGGGGTGCAGGGGCGTGGGGGTGTAGGGGTGTAGGGGTGTAGGGGTGTAGGGGTGTAGGGGTGTAGGGGTGTAGGGGTGTAGGGGTGTAGGGGTGTAGGGGTGTAGGGGTGTAGGGGTGTAGGGGTGTAGGGGTGTAGGGGTGTAGGGGTGGAGCTCCAGAACCCTGAGCCTGAAAAACTCGAAGCCCGACAGACCCTAAGCCCTTAGCCCTTTCAGCTCAACCCTTAGGCCTAAACCCTAAACCCTAAACCCTCAACCCTAAACCCTAAACCCTAAAACCCCTAAAACCCCTAAAACCCCTAAAACCCCTAAAACCCCTAAAACCCCTAAAACCCCTAAAACCCCTAAAAACCCCTAAAACCCCTAAAACCCCTAAAACCCCTACAACCCCTAAAGCCCCAAGGTGGGGGGCGGCGAGTCCCTCCAGTTGCGCCTGAGTCTGGTCAGGGCGGAGGATCCCGAGGCGCATCTTGGGCTTCGGGGTTTAGGGTTTAGGGTTTAGGGCTTAGGGCTTGGGGTTTGGGGTTTGGGGTTTGGGAGGGTTTAGGGCTTAGGGCTTGGGGTTTAGGGCTGCGGTTAAGGGTTGCGTTTAACAGGGCTTGGGGGGTTTTCACTTCGACCGAGCCCGCAAGCCCATGAGGGTGCCGGAAAGGTCCAGACATGAAAAGCTTGTAAAAGCACGGAGCCAAACATGGGGGAAGCCCCGGAGGAGAACTGATAATGGCCATATGGTGGTCATATGATGGTTGTAGGATGGCTTGAGGGCTACATGAGGGTTATATGATGGTGATATGATGACTACATGATGGTTCTACATTTGGGCTTGTAAGGGTTGTCACGTCCCTTTGATCTTGAGCCGCTGGGTTAGCCATGCCCGAAGTCGTCGGAAGGAAGTGCCAGTGTCTTTGGATTGGCTGTTCCTCACGGTCTACGATGAAGAGGACAGGTTTGGGGTCTTCCACGTTTGGGTTGCCCGGTTTCAGGATGAATGGTATAGGCCCCCTTTTGGAATCAGGATTCATTTTCTCTATGGCTCAGCCACGGAAACCCTGGTGGTAGATATTTTTGGGGATGGGTTTTTGGAGGCATACGTACTTTAGGGGCGTTTTGCCCTGAGCAGCTGTGGCCCCTCCTCTTCTCTCGAGGATGTAGCTGAGCGGTTTGAGTGTCAGCTTGTCATGGCTCATACATCGCTTCAAAACAAGCTTTCGAGGCAGTTTGGGCAGCCTAGACTTTACATTTCGACCCCACACTCCCAAGCCCCCAGCCTCCAAAAACCTTACTTCATTGCAGACTCTGTGGAGCACGATTCTGGAGACACCCCAAAGGTCAACAGTTTAGTCCACCCCGATCAGGGTTCAGCCTGTAATTAGGGTCAGCTCGATATGGTCGTCACTTCTGTACGTGGAGGTAGGTCTACATGGTGGCCCTGTCGGGTATCTACAAGGAAGAACCTTCGAATAGAGACGCAAGAAAGGCTCACAATCTCGGTCAGCCCCCACTGACACCTGCAGCCGCGCGCCCGAAACTAAACATGCTCCAGCCCGAATCCCGAAAGCCTTCAAGCCACCACTCGCATCCTAGCCACTCTTCAGACCCCATTGCCTAAACTTGAACACCCAGAAGGAACAGATCCAAAACCGGGCCCACAGAGCACAAGACGTTCGGGTTTCCATCATGCCTTAAACTAATCGGTTGAGGGTTCTTAGCCGACAGGAAGATAATATGTTCTCCAAAGCGACATTCCTGGGCTCTCAGGGAAGCTCTTCGAATCGGGTGTTGGAGCTCGGCCTCTTTTCTGAGGACCCCGTCCGAGCGCTGTCGGCCACAGGCGAGGTCACGATACGAGGCTTTGAGGCCCGGGCGCTGTGTGTTTTTTTTGGGTGTGCGTGAGTAAGGTTTATCGAGGGCTTTTGGGGGTACAGGGTTTATGTCTTAAAGTGATGTTTCTTGAAGCTGTCTGCCTCTTGACCTGGGTGCCAGTCTGGGATAATGTTCAATTTCCCTTACCGGTTTTGTAGAGGGACCTATACATAAACCTTTTTGGGTTCAGGGTTAGGGTAAATAAACGACCTCCAACACGACCACCCCTTGTTGCGCCTTCCTGAAACCCTCGCGCGAGGCCGCGCAGCTTGCCAACTCCGGCTGGACGGCGGCGCATGCGCTGGAAACTTCAAGGGGTGGTGTGCCCTTGCAGCAAGACCTAGAGTAAACTAGGACCCAGACTAAGCCCTGAATATGGTTTCTTCTTTAGGGTTTAGGTTCCCTTGCAAGGCTCTTGAACCACAAAAGGGCACCCTTTTTATTCCCAGGTGCCTCTTGGGTCTATCCATCCTGTAACCAAACAGGTGCGTACACCCAAGATGGAAGGGGAATAGGCGCTCTCTGGCCTTCAGCTTCGGGCTGGCCCCTGGGAGTAGAGGCACTTGGTACTCGATGTGAAAAAAAAAGCAGGCAACTCTGAACCAAAGCGCAGTCGGGCACGATGCTTGCGACATGTGCGCACGCGGCCATTCCGCGTGGTCCCACTCAGGGGCCGCTTGAGTTGAGGTTTACAACGCTCTGGGGTCGCAATGTGCTTGAGAAACCCTGCACCCCAAAGCCTAAACCCTAAACCCTAGAAAGGAAGTCGCCCCTGACTGAAAGATATCTCGAAGCCACCGTCCCATGACTTACCTGAAACCAGCGCACGGAAACGCCGACCTAGCCCTTTGCAGACCACAGTTTACACCATAGGGCCGTAGTTAAACCCTAAACCCTAAACCCTAAACCCTAAACCCTCAACCCTAAACCCTAGACCCTCAACAATAAGGGGATCATGAAATCATGTGGGGGTTCGGGGCCCATGTATCCATATATATATATATATGTATATGTATATATATATATATATGTATTTATCTTATATGTATTATTTGGTGTATGTGTATATATATATATATATATATATATATATATATACGTTTGTGTCTATATTTGTATATGTATGTATAGAAGCATGTATATCTACAGTGGATTTAAAGGGGGCCATAGTTCAGGGAGCCTCGTATATACTCATGGAGAGTCCTGGGCTCTTGTGCGGATCAGGTCTGGGCTCTTCCGGCAGGGCCGACCCCCCTGCTGGCCTTTGCCAAAGCGAAGGAGGTGGGCTTCTTGGGCCTTAAGTTGCTGTTGGGGAGGCTCCGAAGCACTCGTCGGTAGCTGCAGCTCCCCGCAACAAACGACGTGCCCTCAAGCCCCAAGGCTTCAAAGCCCTAAAGGACCTAACCCTAAACCCTTGACCCCTAAACCCCAAGCCCCTCTACCCCTAAATTTTACAAGCCAAACGCCCTACACAAAAAATCTAAGCCCAGACACACAACCCCAAACCCAAAATTCGAAAGCCTGAACCTCCAAGTAACTAAGGGCTCCTGCTTTTGGCTGCTTCTGGGGGTCGCCAGGTCGATCTCATGCTCCATGCCGTGCAGATGCAAGGCGGGCCGGAAGGGCTTGAGAAGGGCTACGGGCTTTACAAGGGCTTCATACGGGCTTTAGGGGCAATGAAAGGGCTAAGAAAGGGGAAGGGCTTAAGGGCTTGAAGGGCTTGAAGGGCTTTAGGGGCTTTAGGGGCTTTTAAGGTTTTAAGAGTTTTACTAAGGGCTATGAGGGTTTTAAGGGATTTAAGGGTTTCAAGGGTTTTAAAGGATTGAGGGCTCAGGGGTTTAGGGTTCGGGCTTAAGGGCTTCGGGTTTTAGGGATCTCTGACTCGTGATTTGCAGGTTTAATTAGGGTTTAGTTTATGGGTTTAGTGTTGAGATGTTCCCCCTTTTTCTAACAGTCCTTAATAGGGATTGTCGTACCCTCTATTCTCATCCCTATAAAGGACCGTTAGTATTAGGGGGAACATCCCAAGGTTTGGTGTATTAGTAGCCGAAAAATGTTCCTAAACCCTGAAATATTTTCTAAGCCCCCGCAAAACACCGCCAAACCCTCAAGGGAAAGTCCAAACCTGGCCCTCCTGTCATGACACTCGTCCTGGAACCCTAAACCCTAAACCCTAAACCCTAAATCCTAAACCCTAAACCCTAAACCCTCAAGACCAGAATAAAATAGAAATTGTATGTGGTATCATTCTGAATTTTCAAAGTTGTTTGTCTAAACAGCTGACAAGCCGAGTTTAAGTAAATTAATGAGTAGCTTCAACAGCTTCGAGGCCCCGCAAGCCCTGAGAGGCCCTAAAACCCGGGAGCTCAAAAGAGCCCAAAAAGCCGCGGGACCAAAAGGCCCCGGAAGGCCCCAAAAAGGTTGTGGCAGGGCTCAAAAAAGCCCTGCCCAAAAGCAAAAACTCAAACTTTCGCCCAAAACCCGCCCAAAACTTTCGCCTAAAACTTTCGCTCAAAACTCCGGACCTGAACCCTATACAATTTCTATATAAGCCCTAAACCCTAAACCCTAAACTCTAGACCCTAAACCCAGCAGGATGAGCTCGTAGGCCGGTCACATGGGGGATCGCGTGAGCTGACCTCGCGCGAACTCCACATCCCGACAAACTTGTTGGACAAACTTACGAGTGACTTCTGTGTGCTGCCCTGGGATGTTCACCCTTAATCCCAACAAGGGGAGCATCCCAAGTGTTACCTGTGTTTCAGGCAATGTGCTGGGCACAGCGTGGCAGGCGCGGCTCACGAGAACGGCGGCTCATGGGATAAGCTCCTTGCTGGTGCTGAAGTGTGCCCCTCCTCTTACGCCCCCCCCCCCCCCACCCCCCCCCCCCCCCCCCCCCTCTTACCCCACCGTCCCCATGTTGAAAGCTCTGGCGCGTGTAGGGGTCAGCTTAATTCATGCCACCCTCATTCGGGATCTGCAAGGGGTTTCTTTTGGGCCACGTGCCAGGGGCGAACCTTCTTCTTGCAGCTGTGGAGTCCAGACGTCTCAGCCGACCCTTGGCCTTGTGGTGTTGAGGCTTCAGGATTGTGTGTGTTTGGTTGCTGAAGGTGGCTCTGGTAGGGTGGCTGGATGTAGGATGTCAATGTTGCTCATGCCAGGTCCGATGTGACCCAACATTCGTGGCCGAACCTACGTCGGGCATGTCGTCGGGCACCCGCCCAGGCGCGTCCGGCTGCGCACCACGGGGCACCGCCCGTCTTGGCAGCGGCTCCCCTGGCAAAAGCAGGCCGCGGAAACCGCTTTAGGGTTTCAACTCGTTCCGGTGGACCTGGCCACCGCCGTATTGCACTCCAAACGACTTACAAGAGACTAGCGGGTGATGGTAGCAACCATTGAAGAGTAGAACCAGTAATTTAACACGCGTTCGGTGCCAGGGTGGAGATGGTCAATGCCATTCTTCCATTCCAACTCAATCATTTTATTGCATGACCCCACGCCGGAGAAGACATGTCAGCGACCACCTGAAGCAGCACGTATGTTCTGATTCCAAAGGTGTTGTAGCCGAGTTGAGCTCGAGCCACGTCTGGCCCTGTCAAAGGAAAGCGCATAGTTCTGCATATGTATATATATATATATATGTATGTGTATATGTATATATATATATATATACATGTATATGTATATATATATATATATATATATACATATAGATAGCATGTACAGACTGTATACAATATGTTGCAATACGAAAATTGCATAGGATAGGGTGCCACTATAGTTTACACATATCGTGTTCCTCGGGTTGCAAACTCCCTAAGCCCTGCAGAGGCCTCACGGCCGCACCGGTGCACGCAAGCGCCGCAAAGGCGCGCCTCATGCACTTTTGGTGGTTCTAGGGTCTAGGGTTTAGGGTTTAGGGTTTCGGGTTCAGGGTTTAGGGTTTAGGGTCCCATGGTGGGCGGATCACGATGCAAAGTTTATCGTAGCTCAGCGTCTACAGCACCGCGCCAGCTCTGCATTGGGCACTGCAGGTGCAAGTAGCAACTCCGGCAGCAGGAGGCGCGAAATCACTGCTTTGCACTGGCCTGGCGACTTTCCCCAATCCCTCCCCAGCCTCGTTGTGGAGATCGAAGTTCAGAAGGGTTTGGGGCTTCGGGAAAAATGCTTGGTTCGGGGTCTGAAGGCTCAGGGTTTAGGGATGCTTTTTCCCCTGCAAAATGCGGCATGGCCCTGGACGAAGCAAAGCCTAAACCCGTAAGTTCAGCGGGATGCTGTGCTGCGCGCGACATTGCACGCTTGGTGCTGTTGGGTCATCTGTGTTCCATATGCTGTCGCAAGAGTCCTCACTTCTGAGCATGATGGATCTCGGATGCCTTACTGTTGCTGCGACCTAGATGGCCTTCTGCAGTTGCTTTCGTCAGCATAATCCGTGTACCCCCCCTTCTTCTCTTCTTTGAGGATTTTGTTCCCTCCCTTAAACCAAAATGGCATCCCTCCCCTTTTGTCGGTTAACGGTCACTGATAGACGCTCCTCTGCACAGGCCTCGCAGTGACGCCAGCGGCGGCAAGTAACGCCAAGGCTCCTGGAGTACATGACATGATTCTGGTTGGTGGTTCGGCTCCCTCCCTCCCCCCCTCCTCCTTCCCCCAATCCTCCCCCTAAACCCTAAGCCCTGAACCCTTTGAAGAAACTAGACCAAATCCAAAAAACATGCTTGAAAACCCTAAACACCCAACCCTCAAAGCCCTGAAACCTCTAAACACTCACACACACTCCCTGAAATCCTAAAGCCTTAAATGGGAGGGCTCGGCGGGCGCAGCCCAGGCGCATCCGGCCGCGCACCACCGGGCACCGCCCGTCTTGGCAGCGGCTCCCCTGGCAAAAGCAGGCCGCGGAAACAGGTCTAGGGTTTCAACTCCTGTCGGTAGATCTGGCCACCGCCGCCTTGCACTCAAAACGATCGACAAAGCAGCGAGTGGTAGCAACCATTGAAAAGTAGAACCAGTAACTAACACTCCAACTCAATGATCCGGGGAATACTACACAAACCGAGAAGGGTGTGTTTTGCCACAGGAGCACCGACTGTGCTCCGAGATCTCACAGATTCTAGAGCGCATCCGGCGGGAACAGTGCAGGTGATCACAGTTTGATTTTTCAACCCTCTGTCAGCAAAAGCGCAAAAGATATTTCAGCGACCACCTGAAGCAGCACGTATGTTCTGATTCCAAAGGTGTTGAAGCAGAGTTGAGCTCTAGCCACGTCTGGCCCTGTCAAAGGAAAGCGCCTAGTTCCGCAAACCCTCATGGCACATATATACATATATCCATATATATATATATACATATTGTGTATATATATATGTATATATACATAGAGCGTATATAGAATACAACAAAGATACCTTGAATAGGACAGGTAATCTGCCACTATCATGTTACACATGGTGTGATAGGGTTGCAGACTGCAGACCCCCCAAGCCCACAAATCTTCCCTGAACGGGCTCTGCAGAGGCCTCACAGCCGCACCGGTGCAGGCAAGTGCCGCAAAGGCAAGCCTCATGCGCTTTTGGTGGTTTTAGGGTTTAGGGTTTCGGGTTTAGGGTTTCGGGTTTCGGGTTCAAGGGTTTAGGGTCCCATGCAGGTGCAGGCAGCGGCTCCGCGAGCAGGAGGCGAAATCACTGCTTTGCACTGGCCTGGCGACTTTCCCCAATCCCTCCCCAACCTCGTTGTGGAGATCGAAGTTCAGAAGGGTTTGGGGCTTCGGGAAAAATGCCGGGTTCGGGGTCCGACGGCCCAGAAACCCAGAAGTTCAGCGGGATGCTGTGGTGCTCACGACGTTGCACACTTCGTGCTGTTGGGTCATCTGTGTTCCATATGCTGTCGCGAGAGTCCTCCCTTCTGAGCATGATGAATCTCGGATGCCTTACTGTTGCTGCGACCTGGACGACCCCGGGTTCCCCCTGTGGCAGCCTTCTTCTCTTTTCAGGGTTTTTTTCCGTCCCTCAAACCAAAATGGCTTCCCTTCCCTTTTTCCGGTTAACGGACACTGGATAACCTGGGCATAGACGCTCCTCTGCAGAGGTCTCGCGGTGACGGCAGCGGCGGCAAGTAGCACCAAGGCTCTGGGGTGCATGATAAGATTCTGGTTCGTGGTTCGCCGGCTCTCCGTCCCCCCCCCCCCTTTCTTCCCCCAATCCTTTCCCTAAACCCTATGCCCTGAACCCTTTTAGGAACCTAGACCAAATCCAAAAACATGCTTGCAAGCCCTAAACCCCCAACCCTCAAAGCCCGAGAAGCCCTCAACCCTCACACACTACTCCCTAAACCCCTAAAGCCTTCATTGGGGGGGGGGGGGGGGTCCTAAATCCCAAGGTCGGAAAACCCTAAACCCCAAAC